TTTTTTTTTTTTTTTTTTTTTTTTTTTGCTGCCATTACTGTTTTTGAAAGGGTACACACACTTAAAACAAATTTGATAAAAGCACTGATCTGAGTGAGTCTCTAAGCCTTAGGGAAGACCACACCCCAGCAATATATTCTGCTTCCAAGGGCAAACAATAAAGTAGTATGTGTTTCTTTCAAGGGTTCCTATTTCAAGGTGCAATTTATAAAACCTATTCCATCAGAATTCAGATGAGCTTCATTGGCATTGATCTCATGGGAAACTATGTCAAGTAATTGTATTGTTGACTTTTCTGGTTGGTGCAAGTAGAGGCTGTAAACTTGTGTGGAAGTCTTATCTGTCTGACTGGCAGGCTCTTCTGACAGTGTAGATGCTTACAACGCAGTGGTGTTTACAGTAAGTTCATGTTCAATGTTGCGAATAGTACATCTAATCATATTGTGCTGCTCACAGAAAGTTTCTTGTGTTCACAACGTCTGGGTCCTAGGAGTGCAACTAGTGAAGTATGGTCAAGCTGGTTTCCTTGCTTTCCTGACTGAGAGAGACTCAGAGGACTCACAGCTATACCTTAGGAACTGCTTCTCTGAGCTGCTGTACAATTCAAATCTATTCCAGGAAGCTTCTCAGGCTAGAGACAGCTTTTGGCCAGATCAGCAAAGCTGAGGTGGGAACCTGTGTGGAAAAGCATTTAGCACTTACACTATCTTGTAGCTTTGTTGGTTTCTTATCTGTTAGGCTCCTCTCCCTAAGGTGTTGCAATGTGATGTACACAGTTTCATTTTCTAGTCTTCAGTGTCTACACACAACCTAGCACCTTTGCACTTAAAAAGCGTGGGCTGATTCTTCCCCATTGTACATTTTTTACTCCTCCTTCCTATCTTTCACGATGAAACATCCTGCTCAATAGCAATCCTTGAGATTTAAGCTTCACTTTACCATCTGAAAAGAGATGTATCGTTATTTGCTATTGTAATACATTTTTACTGCTATGATGAATTCTACTATTATTCTAACCATTTTTTAAAATCATATCCACAGTGCGAGAATAAGTTGCTAACATCTTTGAAAATCAAAGCACATGCTCATTTATACAACTTGGAATAACACTTTAGCAGTCTACAAAATAGAAACCCTTAGGAGGTGGAAGGGAGTGTGTGTATTTGTCCACACAACAGATTGTAAGTAAGGAAAAGGAAGCTGCTCTTTCAACATTTTAGAAGGAGCCAATAGGCACACTTGGATTTTCATACCAATGTATTGCCATGGTACCTTATGGAAAGCCTTCTACGTGATCACATATGGTCAGGAATTCAGTTCAGTTGGTCTGTGGCCATGTGAGGTCAAGATGTGAACATCTCACATCTGGATTACTTAATAGTACCTTTTCTCCTTCTTGTCCAGTACCTGCCCTTTTTGATTTACTATTGGATTTTTCATCTCCTCCATTAGAATGATGTAAATATTCTGTAAGCCTTGTACCTGTTGTGCCTCCAGTGCCTATGACAGGGTCTGGCACATAGTAGATACTTAATCAGTAGGTGATAAAGAAGCATAAAAACTCTAATGTGAACTTTTTAGTATGCAAGTGAAGATATGTATATATTTGAGTCAATTTATTAGCCAGGAGACCTATCAGCATAATGTGCCCTGACTAGCTGGGAAGAGGTTATCTATTAGCATCACTATCTAATCTGGGATAGGACCTGGGCAAGACGTGGCAAAGCCACTACCCAAGCTGAATCCCATTCCTGTGTTTACTGAAGTTCTCCCTTTCCCTCATCTCTCCCCTTTTCCATACTGGTGAGGATTTCTGTGGTTATCATCTGCAAAGAATCTACAGGGCAGGAATTACAGAGGACGACTACTGATCCTCAATCCATTCCAGCCACACCGATCTCCCTTCTCTCTCTCTCTCTGGCACTTCTCCCCATCTGAAGACAGTACCATCTATTTATTTGTAGTGTTTATTGCCTGCCCTCCCCAACTAGAATATAAGCTTCTTGAAATAGTTATTTTTTGTCTTTGTTTTTTGCCTGCTTAGCTTACTGGTTTATACTTGGTGCCTACATTCCCACCTGGTATATAAGACATTGGCAACAATTATTTATTTGAAATCTAGAGGTATTTCGCTTATGTTTTTTGAGGAAAGAATTGGGAAAAAGTCTTAACCCAGTATTGTAGCATTATGAACATACATATGATGCTTGGAATGTAGAGCCGTGTGTCTACGAAGAAGATTTTCCTATGAAAGATTTGTTGAAGATCTCCCCCTTGAGTGAGGTGCTGTACACTAGTGCAGAGAACCACTGTGATTCCAGTGGCATGATGTTCCTCAGCCTCCTTCTGCAGCCCTGCCAGCCTTATACGCATATTCACATCTCTCTGAGCTAGGAAGAAGCACTGCACACCTGAACTTTCTTCAGTGGATCTGCCAGGAGGATGCTACCTTCTTATTCTTCTCAAAGAAACCTTGCTTTCATTTTTCTGTAATTTTCAGTTGTGCCCCATTGATTGCCATCAGAATTCTTTCCTCCATAGGGATGGGAGGACTTTTTAGGAGCCCCTCCCAATTGCTTTCATGGCTATGAATGATCTTTATTTGTGTGGGGGTGCTCGTGGTTGCTCAAGTTTGAGCAAGCGAGTCATGCTTTGTGCCTTGGGTCCTCACTAGGAATAGTTCTGTTGCTAGTCTGCTTCGTGATGGCAAGAAGGCATTCCTATGCTGTAGTGTTTTTTTCTTTATAATTAGAGCAAGAAGACAGGTTTTGCTTATTCTTTGTCATTTGTTGTCACTATGGTACTCACCTAAGCTTTCACTTATTCATTTTCCCAACTATGTAGTAGTCAGTATAATAAATTTTATGCTTATACAATGCTGTATTGACAAAATATTTTTCACTGGTTAAAGTAACATTACGAGTATAAAGGCAGGAATGTAGCCATTAGTTTATTAGACTGGAACAACTAACTTTTTTTTTTTTTTGCTTATCTAGCATCCTTTCCCCCATCCACTTACCACATTAACATACTTTGGTTCCCACTCAATCCCCTAAGCCCCATCACAGAACTGGGCTCATGTTTTGGGACTTAGGATCTTAGAATTTTTCCTTCCTCACAGTAGGGGCTGGTCTCAAGATGGGCATGGATCCCACACAGGAACATCAGAGCCCTTCACTGACCTTTCTGTTGGCTGTGGGAGACTGGTGCTCTCCCTTTCTGTGCTTTTCTGCTGACTGCCATTGGGCCCATTTCCCATTGTCTTCATGAAGAAGATTTTCCTATGATGCAAAAAACCGAACCTCACAGAGAAGCAGAGAGGAGAAGTAGAATGTGAGCCCCTGGGTCAGCTCCTGCAGATGTTCCTCTGACTGATGGCTGTCCCAGCTGCAGGAGCCAGTGGGGCTCTGTTTTTGCTTAGACTGTTTTGAGTTTATTTTCTCTGAAAGAGTTCTAACTGATGCCTCACTGATGTATGGAGAACTTGACTGACTTTCTAATTACAGAGCAAAGATTGGGGTGAAGCTGCAGGCAAAGACACCTAGATCTTTGGTTTTGGATGTTTTATTTAAGCCTTATTACTCTGCATTTTCTTTCTACTCATCTGAACTTTTTTGTTAAATAATGTAATTAAAGTTCAGGCAACTTGAGGTTATTTAATAACATTTCTTGAGTGTCTCTTTTGTTCCAGCAGCTTTGCTGCACCCTGCATATAC